ATCCTGTGTAGCTCGTTTGGGTCAGGGAGATGCACAAGCCATCACACCACATCAAGGTGCAGTCTCGTAGTGATGGTCAAACTGGAGCTAGACAAAGGCTCCAGTTGTGAGTAGTAGTAAAGGCCCTCAATGGATTGCGGTTGTAGCATACAGCCCCGCTGCCTTGCGGATCCGGTTGTAAGCCCCCACTCCGAAAAAGACGATTCTCTTGTCTTGATCTTTAACAGTACTCCTGTTAGAAGCAAATCGTGGAACGTTCTTCGTTTTTTAGAGGTTATTGTACCGTGATGTCCTTGGCACACAGTCTGGTCTCAGACATGTATGAAATATATCTATGGTAAACGGGCTCACTTAGTTCTCATGGTTCGTTGTAGTTGTAATGATACAAGGTGGATACCAACCCGTGTTTTGGGGTAGTATCCACAACCCTATGTTTATTTTTGTTTCGATTTGGTACAACTGACGCGTATTGTGTTAGTTTTTCACATTTTTCCTCATTAACTTCTGTTCGACTTAGCCTCGTGCGGATGGGCTTGACCAGTCCACTGCCGGGTTGGATTGCTCCACTCGTTCAACGCTCGATTCCAGTTCTTCCAGTCCTACTGCGGAGCGATCGTATTTTGTAGAGCGTGCCCGTCTGGGTGAGTGTAAACGGCTAACACTCAGTTTGGAGACCTGGATGGGTGCGGAAGAAGCTCGTCTTACTGGTCAGATCGATTGGTTGAAAAAACAGCTAAAGGATGCAGATCTCTCGAATTCCTACGATCAGTCACAGTGAGTTTAACAGTCTCCCACGCGGTGACAAGATTTGTCTTGTTGCTTTCTTGCGCCCATCAACTAGTCCCGTGGAGACGAGCAGTACGGCTTACCTTTTGTTTTTTGCCCATTTCAGTACGTTTTCACCTCCAAACTCAGTGACCGAAGAGGAATTGAACAATCTTTATCGCCGATGCGATCGTCTGGCCTCGGAATTGGCTCATCTGGATGAAACTGAATTGGCTGAAACCAAGATACAACAATCGCTTCATCGACAGCAGTCGTATATCCAGCGACTAGATAAGGTTTGGTTTTGTGCCGAATTTTTAAATTATTATTTCGTATTTGTACGCGTTTTATTTTTTTAATTTTATAATTGAGGGGAAAATACCACGACTATGCAAACCCACCTTTGACGTTCCTTTATATGTTACGGTTCCCCAGGTTTTCATAGGTGTAGCCTTTACCCTTTCTTCTTTCTATGAACGTTCTTCTGTTCTAAACGTCCAATCTACTTTGCTTTTTCCTCGATTGTGTCATTCTCCATTGTGCCCGGTCTTATCCCTCGCCCAGCGTGGTCTTCACTAACATCCGGCTGTATCCAGGTGTTTTCAGTACACCACTTAGCTTCAGTCCTCGGCTCA